CTGCGAAAACACTCGATCGACGAACGCCCGTCAAAGTGATATTAAAGAATAATCCGATCCCCATCGAATCCCGACGCAGCGAATCCCGGCAGCCGAAAATAAAAACAGAAACCGTCGATTTTTGGCTGGCGTCCCAAATCCAACCTTCCGATCCCCGTACGAGGCCATCGTGTCTTCGTTCCCGAAACGAGCGCGCCCCGCTCCCCGGGCCCTCGAGCCCAATGGAAGGGAATCGCGTCGTCCGGCGAGTATCCCCGGACGATAGGAAAAAGCTATTTTTCCCGAAGAGTTAGCCGGGCTCCGGGCGGATCCTTTCCCATTCAGCCCGTCCATTTCCACGTGCGGCCGCGCCGCGGCGTATGTATAATACATGGCTGGCAGCCGCTCGCGTCGCATCGCCGCAGATTGCGGGTCATTCCATTCTTAGCTCTCCGCCGCGGCGCGGCTCCTTTCCGTCGGTTTCCACCCCCGCCCGGGCGTTATCGGGAGTTCCCCCGTAAAGTACACACCGTCCGGGTGCGTACTCGCCGGCGTAACCGTCCCCGACGTACCAAAAATATCGGAAACCCGAGTTTCCGGTCACGGATCGGCTGCTCCGCCCGTAACGAGCGTCTCGGCCGCGTATCGCGCGCGACTCACGCGAACGGAGCGAAGCTCTTCAGACTTCTCGCGGAGACGCCGAATGAAAACGGTTCGCTCGTTTGCGTATCGATGGCGGCCGGATGCTTCGGAAGTCTTCGTCTCACTCGCGAGCCGGGAGGCGGAGATCTTCGAGGACGACGGATTCGAGAAGAGAGAGAGAGAGATATTGAAGCTCCACGGTTCCCAGGCTTGATTTTGTTTGTTTGGGAAGTTTGTTTAACGGTTTGAGGACTGTGGCATTTAAATTTAGGAGACAGGTCCTTCCGGGGATTTAAAATTGGATTTTCTTGGGGACGTACCGAACGAATCGTGTTGAATCTATAAGATGCGAGGTTGACGGAGCGGTTCCTGGGATCAATTTCAACTGTTCAGCCTCTGTTCTGTTGAGACGTTGAGTTCTGGTTTTGTTGCTTGGTTCATCCAGATTGAAGTTCTCTTAGAGCTATAATCTAGTCGTAACCAGAATTACACGGTTGAATAATGGATTCTATATTGACGCGAACGTTCGGAAGTTCAGGCGCATAGAGCGCTCGCGCTCGAAATAAGATAATCACTCCTCCATTTCCTACCGTTCCAGGAAATACTATGCGAACAGCATTATACTAAAATCGTTCCGCGAAGATTTCATTAAGGCAATCGAATTAGCATAGCCGGAATGTTACAGCGGGGGGGAGTAGCGTCGCTAACGAGCCCAAATAAATATGCAATCGATTTCCATAATTCATACATCGCGGTATAATCGCGTCGAATATCAAATCCGCGTGCGTTTTCAGCCGACGGGTTTGCACGCGTGCGCGTTGTGCCGCAGGATTTTCGGTATTTCGAACGCGCGCCGGATTTCCTATGCCCCGGTGCATATTAATTTACCTTCGCCCCGAAAATTAAGCTTGGCCGCGGCGGCGAGCTGCCGGCTGGGAACAAGGCGGGATTCGGTATCACGATCCCGCATAAGATAATAAGGACATCCGGGGAGCCCCGGGACTTTTATGGCTGATCCATACAATTCATTACAGCCGGGGCGAGTATCTCCTGGCGAGCTTTCCAGCTTCCACCGGTGTTCACGGGAATGTAAGCACCGCGCGCCCCATACCTCGGGCGTCAGCCTCATCCCCTAACTATCGGGCCAGACCCCGCGTGACGAGCGATCGTGCCGGATAAGCCTCGATCCCGGCGTTCGAGCGATACCCGTTTGAAAATTTAACATTCAGCCCGCGCGAAATCATCGTCGTGGAACGTGGAAACGTCACGCGGAGCTCCGCGGGAAGAAAGGCGCGGCGTATCCGGGAATTTTGTAATTCCCCGGGAATATACTCTGACGCCTTCGCCGCGCGGAGAGGATTGTTTCGGAGGAACCGGGCTCCGGAATGCATCGCGATAAGTGCTATCCACACTCGGATGGCTCCTTCCGTTCGTTCCTCTCGCGCTCTGTTTGTATACCGTGGCTGTTTTCAAACCGGCGGAGTTGTCGAGAGTTAATGCAAACTGAAGCGTTGGCAATGATTTTTGTATACGTGATCAGCGAGGATTGAGCGTTTCAGGTCGATGTTGCCTTTTCAAGCTTGTCTCGATGGCGAGGTTCGAAGCTGTTGTCTTTTGTTTGGATGGCTTTGATTATAACAGGAGAAGGGTGATTTATTCATTGTATTATTCTCGGGGAAGTTAAGGTAATCTTTGGGTATTTTCTTGGTTTATTATTCGGGATTAGCTCCAGCGTCTCGCGCTATAAAATACACTATAGAATATGCGCTGCGTCTAATGCACCCCGCCGAATCGGCAAGGGGAGGAATGGAGATAAACTGGGGCAATCAACGGAGACAGAATGGGAGAAGCTCTGAAAGCACCGGGGACGTAACTATATGAAACCTTCTCTCCTTATCATCACGTAGGAGTTGTACCGTGATGGCTCCTTTAAGATTGAAATCCTCATTTTCCTTCCTATTGCCACCTCCGCTTCGTTTATTTCTATTACCGAGCTAGTGCGCCTCGCAAAACGCGGCCAACCCTTCGTCCCTAGCTCCCGTAATTATTCCCGTCAGCGATGGATGATCGCCTGAAAAGCTCTGCGTCGCCTAAACATGGATTAGCTTTGAGCCAAGTCTCAGGCGGGTCTAGTTATGTCTGATTATGGACTGATCAGGGCTCAGCGAAGTCGGAACTTGTGTCGTGGTACAGATTATGCCACTGTTAGATTTGAACCAAGTCCGAGTTAAGTCTCGTTACACGTGAAGAAGGATTGACTCAGGTCTCCGATAAGCCAGGTTTGAGCTGTGTTCAGATTAGTTCTGGTTACACAGGTGTTTAATTAGCGTCAGATTCGAACTAGATTCAAGTTAGGCTCCGTTAAGACGCGAGTATGATCTTAGGTCGGGAATGTTCCAACTTCAAATCTGTCACAGACTAAGCCTGGATTCGATTTGAACTACGTTAGACGTTCAACCCTTCGCAGTCTAGAAACTTTTCATTAGAAATACTCAACATTCTCTAATGAGGTACTAATGACATCCTTATACTTGCTTAACGAGAAATCGCATATAATTTGAGGAACGAAACTATCCTTTTTCGAGTATAATCTTAGGATTAGGTCGGAAATATTCCAACTTCGAATCTGTCACAGACTAAGCCTGGATTCGATTTGAACTACGTTAGACATTCAACTCTTTGCACCCTAGAAAGGTTTCATTAGAAATACTCAACATTCTCTAATGAGATACCAACATCCTTATACTCGCTTAACGAGAAATCGCACATAATTTGAGGAAACTATCTTTTTTCAATATTCCTCATATCGATACATTGTCAAAGTTTAATATCTATTATCAAACTTTATTCTGCTGAGTCAAACCAATTGACGAAGAGGCGTCTACAGAGTGCAAAGGGTTAAACAGTTCTTTCTTTTCACCAAAAGAGTATATTCCTATGATTTATGAATCAATAACCTTATCAATAAACTTATCATACTCCTCTAAGAAGACACGTTTCACCTTCGTTGACAAATTCTCCTTATCGCCAAGAAAAAGGACAACCTCGCCTCGGCACGAAACTGATTTGCCGGGCCTCGAACGGAAATGTAGACGGGTAAATAGCTCCGGCAAAGCGCTTGCTACTCCGATATCAGTCGGATTAATGATACTCGGTACAACAACGAGCCGTAGTGGGCTAATAATGCCTGCAGCAACGGGCCAAAGCACCGGCGGCATTGGTTTATTCATCGGTGCGCGGCGGATGGTAAAGTGCACTACATAGATTTCCGCGTGAGCCGCCGCGGCTATTTTCCCCATCTACCCATCCTCCTCTTCCTTTCCTCTCTCGCGGGGAGTGAGGTAAGTTAATATCGTCAGCCGGGAAATCGAATTTGCGCGGGAAAAGAAAAGCAACGAACTGGTCGCGTTGTTGTTCCACCACTATCGGGGTATCGAAGCTCCGGTTCGATTCATTCCACGAACCCCGATCTCTATTATTTCTTCACCAAACACATCGCGATAGGTCGACAATGCTGCCTATACTTGTCGCACACGGATTCTCCGCGCTTACGGAAATCCTCTGAAAATTCCAATAAACTTGTAACAGCGATTTTTTGCCTGCATTAGAGCCTCCGTGAGATCAATCAGAATAACTGCGCTGATTCAGACACTCGGAAGAGAGAATAACTGTCCCAAAGTTGTTGAAGCAGTTCTTCATAGTAAATCGTGCAAATATTGCTTGTACGAATATACCGAGCAGATCGAAGCGTTTTCTCATCTTGCCAAAGATTCGATGCGATGAAACGGTTCATTTAAATATTTCTAAATCTAACATTTCAATAATATAGAATTTATCATGGGGGATTTCATTGGATTTCCCGCGTGGTTCCCGTGAAAGCAGGAAATTTTTTAATCACTTTCGACCGGCCAGGCGAAGTAGGTGTATAGATTTGCCGGTGCGGAATACGTACGGACACGCGCGTTATAAATTCGTTTCTCCGACCAATTATGCCTGCCGGAACACGTTTCGGCCTCGTAAAACGCTTGTTATTATTCCCGGCTCTGCCGGCCGGCGGAATTTCGAGGCGAATTTGATCCGATATCGCGCGTCGCAAAAATTCACGCAACGCGGCCGTGAAACGCCGGGGAACGGCGGCGTTCCGTTAACTAGTTCCAGCGGGGCGTGCGCGCCGCTCACTCGCACACGGTTAAGGAAATTGCGAATTGAAAATTAAACGCGGAGCCGAAAAAAAGCGCGTGCCCGCTGGCACGATCAATTTTATATTTCCTACACGCGTCGCGTCTGAAGCCCGGCCGGCAATGAAATTGCCCGGCATCGGTTCGCTGGAACGACCGAGCGCGGAAATTTCGTTTGGAAATGCAATATGGCGGACTCACGTCGCGTTGTCCGGCGCGAGCGCTTCTTCCCGGCTCCCATGCTTCCACCTGAAACAAATAGCACGGTAGTTAACATTGAAAATTCGATGAGCCGCGCGCTAGGAACATCGCGCGCCGCTAATATTCGATCGTAAAATTCTCGGCCGGGAGGTTCCGTTATCGAAGTTATTACAAAGTTATAGCTTTGTCTCGTTATTAAAGTAAAAACATATTGCGTCCGGTATTCGGCGGTGTATAAACGGAATAAATTTAGCGCGAGCTTCGCCGGCGGAAACTCGCGGAACCGTGTTAGGATTCGTTTTTAGCCGGCGGAAGTTCGTTAAACATTTCGAAATAATGCGGCACGTCACCGACAGAACTTGACTGCGGCGCCGCGGGAAAATTTATTGGATTTTTCAGTCGGCGCTTTTTTAATTTTCAACGGTGCCCGACGGAAACGCTTTGACTCCCCCCCATTCAATCACGGCCGAAAGGAACCACGGCGGACCCGCGCGCTGCGCGTCCCCCCGTACGAACCCTTTTCAACCGGCCCGCTCCGCGTGGCCGACATTTTTTTTGCTAATTGAGCAATACATTTCGTACGTGGATCACGCCGGCCGACAGCGATACGCGGGATAGCTTGACGGGGAGAATTACGCTAAATTCTGCACGGACGCGTCCGCGCGGAAAAATTGGTCCTCGATTTATCATGGAACCCGCGAGTGGACGTCGATGGGAGATAAATTAAAACGCCTTGTCGTCTTTTTTCCCCTCCCGTCTCTCTCGGTTCTTCCTCTGCGGCAATTTTTGTTTTCACGCCACGCGTAAAACAACGGGCGTCACATCAAGAGCGCTCTCCGCGGCGTTTTGCGCGAAATTTCAACGGCCGAGGCCCCGCGGCGACGACCTTCTGCTGTAAAATATTATTCCTCGCCGGTGCCATTTTCATGCAACTTTTTTTTCCACCCAGCGCTCGAAGCCCGATCGAATCAATGGAGGCAGGAAATTAAAAAGGGAAACGGATGACAGGTTCCGGTCGCATAAATTTCCAGGAATATGAAAATCCGCGTGAAATCTCCGGCGCCGTATAATTTTAAACCCGTTTCGAACCTCTTGCCGCTGGTCACGGTTTTGATATTCCACGGTCCGGCCTCGAGTTGCGCGTAACGCAATTGTACCGTGATTAGGAACAGTCTATTCATCCGAGTGCCACGGAACTTTTCAGCGAGGAATTTTTTTAAACGGAACGAACGCCTGGCAACGGTCCAGCGCTTGCTTCCAGCAGTTACGATTTTTTCTGGTATTTCGATAGTTTACGCGGAGTTCGATACACACGCGGGCTATATTCCCGCGCCGTTTGCGGATGGGAAACCTGACATTCGGAAAAAACACAGCGTTTTTATCCGTGCTAGTTAATACCGCTGCTCTGCTGGGACGCAATGAATTGTTAACACTGAACGTACTGCCGCTTTGTATGTACATATTCCTAGTATAACCAGCCAAATAACTAGTTTCAGAAGAAAGTTAAACCACCTAGACGCTCCGTTTTATTCAGCGGAAATGGAAACAAAGGGGAGAACAAGATTTGAGAAAGAATACAAAGGTGCCACGCGGTTGCCATTTGCTTTGACGGAAATTACGAAATTCTGTATTAATGTTATATTTAACCCTTTGAACTCCGTAGGCTCCAATATTGCACCAGTTATAATATTACATATTTTAATGAATCTTAACCCCTTGCCCTACAACAACGAGTGAGACTCATGGTGAAGATCTTCAACATGATTCAACAAATATATACGTTACTCAGTTTATTCGAATTCAAAGTAAATATTGTTCCTCTGTAATCAACTATTATACTCAAAAGGAAATATAGGAATAACATCTGCTTAGAATTTTTCTCTTTTTCCAATAAATTATTAATGCCAAGGTAGCCGTATCGATCAGAGTTGAGAAAGAAATGATAGGTCAAAGGGTTAAAGAAGCTACCCTAAAATTATTAGATTTTCCACAGAACCAAATTTTCTACTAAGAAGGAAACTAAGAGATTGAAGAAATATTATAGCATTTCTCATTTTCGCTAGGAATACTATAAAATTAGTTGCGGTTGCTGATAGATTTCAAAACAACCTGGAGCGCTAAGGGGTAATGTCACAGTTCTGTTGCGATACATCGAATTGAAGAGGTTGCGATATATCGAACTCGTCCCTCCAGTACGCACGGCTGAACCAACCCTTAGGGTCTGAAGGCGGTTGAAATAAACTGGTCGCTAAGGAGTTGTTCAGAGTAAACGAAGACAAAGCAGTCTTCGAGCGAAGAAACGACGTATCGAACCAAAGACTACATTGTACAACATTTGTATATAATTGTAAATAGAAAACCGACAAAAATCTATTAAAACGTTCAAAGTATCCATTTTGTAATACGTACATTTTCCTAAGATCTCCAAAACTGAAAGCTGATTAATAAATTGTAAATTATGCATGCCCATGAGTGAGTTACCAACTCAAGTATATTTTATTCTCTAAGTTCTATATTATTATTAAATAGTATAGTAGTAAAAAGAATAATAGTACTATGAATATTATTATTAAAATAAAACAATTCAACCTCTCACCAAAAAGTACCATCAATATCTAAACAAAATCGCATCAGAGAATCTTTCTGCGATATTACGAATCTACGAAAGAAAGCAATATTCGACTTCCTCCGCCAAAATTAATTCCACCAAAAATACCCATCGGAAGTCGTAAAATACTCGAGCGGTCGCGCACTCCTCCTATCAGGACCGCGCGCGTAGAAGTGGGCCCATCGGTCTCGCGCGGCGTGTCAACGAAAATATTTGTGCCGATCGAGTTAATTACACAAGAGTGGCGCGGCTGCCTCTTTAATTCAGCGCGTCGGGGGTTGTTTTCGCAAGAAATTGTCGACCCGGCTGGCCCGGGAGAGCGGTTCGCGGCTGCGAAATTGTCTGAAATGGCCGGAGCGCGCGCCGGCTCCCAAAACAACCGCGCGGAAACCACCGCTCGAACAACCACCGCTCCGAAATAACCGGCTGGCTCGAGTGGCTTCGTCGAATCATCCTATTTTCCTTGGCGGCCGAGCTGCTCGCGCGATGTCCGTGCACACGGGGTGCTCGCGAAAACACGCTTCCCTCCTCGCGCGGCAAATTAACGACGCTAATGATCGCCGACGCGCGGCCACGCCCCTTCCAGCGCGGCACGGCGAATTAGAAAAATAATTACTCGGCTCGATGTCCCGTGAATATTAAGCCGACTATTTCCCCCGCCCCTCCACGGCGCCGGATTAATGCCGCCGCGAAAGAAATTAATCCACGGGAATTTCTCGGTGTAATTGCCGTAGGGATTCCGCGAGCAACGGGATTTGATTGATTCCGGGATAACCGCGGTCGCCGGGCTACCATTGTTCAGTTTGGCAAATGGGCTGAATCCATATCCCTCCAACGGCTTCCCCGGGACACCTTTGTGCCGGGGAATTGGTCGCATTATCGCGAGAAAAATGGACGGATATCTTCCCCGTGATACGACGATCTAGACGCCGCCCGCCCGGCCGCGGTGGATATTAACGGGGCACAATAGGCAAACTTCGTTAATTAAACAGCGGTGTTCTCGAGCCACGCGCGATGCTCGAATAACCGGCGCGTTAATATTTCGTGAAAGGGAATTAGGTGGGGCGTGATGTGTAATTATAGGGGACGCGTGTTTACATTTCGACTGTTACGTCTGTAAACTAGAGATCCTATCATGGAGCCGCGTGTAACGAACGGTTTGACGCGTGATCGTGTGTGATCAGTAGCTGACTTCTAAATAGTTTGTAGCTCATTGGGAAATTATTTGAATATACTCGCTGCAGATGGTGTCCCGTTGAACTTGGAATTCACTGGAAAAACAAGGTGGTTCAGTGTGGGACACGATACTCAATTAATCTCGATCCTCGTGATCCGCTGCTCTTCGCTCTTCTCGAGAGATTAAAAAGCTCGCGTTCCTTTTCCCGAGTCGCAGTCGCTTGCAAACGTTTCACCCGTGTTCCGTCGTCGAGTAGACCCTTAAAACGTTGCTGCCATTTGCGAGACCGGCTTCCGCAACTTTGTGGTCGCCGGGGCTGAAGGGAGAGGGCACGGTGGAAATCTTTAGAAAATGAAATCGTCGAGCGGATTCGCGTGGCACCGGCCGCGAAAGTCGTTGGGAAACTTTCGGCCCCGCCTGTACACGCGCTGCCTCGCCCGGTCTGCGAAACAATCTCCGCTTCGAGACTTCCATCTCCGTTTTCATCTCCTCTGGCCGTTGCTCGCGATAACTTCGGGTTATCATTATCGGGTGCATTGTTACTTAGGCCGACGAGCGTTCAAAATTCACGAACGACCCGGGCTACGGAAGCAATAAATTTCACGGTCGCTCTGATTGTGAGAGATGGCGATGAAAACTGCGCAGACGGCGAACGTCGTTCTCAGCGCAAGCTTTTTATCGAGATCCCCGTGTAACCCGCTTAGTGGTTCGCTTTTGAACATTCCTTGGAAGGTTGGAATTAATGTTGGTATCGATGTTATATTGATATTATAATATTGATAATCTAACAGTTCACTTCAAAATTAATGCGCAAGAATTGATACGAATCCACCATTAGATAGTAACATAAATAAGTTCAGATTCCGTGTATTTCGATTCCAAAAAGCATCTGATTTATTTGAATCTAGTACCGTTACTTCGCCAAATTAATAAGAATTTCAATATATCGTAACAGTATTGGTATTATATTATATTATAATAATATGTAGTATATTATATTATATTATAGTAATATATATAATAATATAATATATTACCTGTATTATATTACTATAATATAATACTAATATTGTCACGATATATTGATATTCCTTTTAATTTTGCGAAGCAGCGAAGTAACGGTACTAGATTCAAATAAATCAGATGTTTCTTGGAATCGAAATACACGGAATCTGAACTTATTTATGTTACCATCTAATGATCAGCTCGTGTCAATTCCTCTGTATTAATATTGAAGTGAACTGTTAGAGAGTTTCGAGTCGT